ACACACACACACACACACACACACACACAAAGTTGCGAAATAAAAGTAAATCTGATTTAAATCGAATCCTCATAAACGACAAGGCGCTTTAAGTGTCAATTTCTTGCACTAGCGCATCTAGTTCAGCTAAAATGAACGAACTTGAGGACGGTCGTAGATGGCTACAAAGAGTGCAACATGGCGACGTATAGTGCAAGTTGTTTTTAACTTTATTCTTTATAAATAAATAGTGTCTGCGTAAGTTCGAAAAAAAAACTCGTATCTTGTTATTCTTTGCGAGCGATTGTGGGAGCATCACAACGACGTGAAAGAAGTGATTTAAACATGAATTACAATCATTCGAACGCTCGTCGAGGTAAGCGTAACCTACGAATTGCAGATGTAAACTTGCACTCTAACGATACGTCTTCAATAAAGATATTTACGATACATCGCTAACGTTCTGGTTAGATTTTCTCGTGCGTTTATTCTCAGCGCTACAGCAGGAACAATATTAATGTAATCAGAACTGTACAATAACGCAACTATGGATTTTGATCATATACAATAGAATATCATTACAGCTTGATTATATCAGCATATTTCTAACATTTTAAGTATACGAATATAAAAAGATGTAAGAAAAAAGGATTTGAACAAGTTATCATGTATAAATAGGGAAACCGAAGAGATTACTGGATCCATCGGCTGCTTTACAACCACCACCACCACCTTTATCAGCACCAGCTCCTCCAATGTCGCAGAATCTTTATGTGTACAACAAACAGGTAATCTTTATAGGTTGTGTGCATTTATGATATATTTATGATTATTTTATTTATATAATTCTTTATAGAACAGATTAATTCTCAAGAATTAATAGGAATTTAAAAACAAAAGAAATTTTCATATTCTTTCTAAACTTCTTAGATACCAGTGAACAATGGCGCAATGCCAGAGTATGGCTTCAATGTTCCTAGACAGACACCGCCTCCATATGGATTTCATTCACAGATGCCAAATTACCCACAAAATGATAATCAAGGAGGAGAATTTGCAAGTTCTCAATTTGCGACACAATTATTGGCTCAACCAGTTGTTACAAACATGGCGGTAGAATATGGAAATGCATTAGTTGGTTCTGGGAAGCAACATCTTGAAAAATATGTTCCAATTACAGCATTGAAATATTACTTTGCTGTAAATACAGATTATGTTTTTGCAAAATTGATGCTGTTGTTTTTCCCATTTACGCATAAGGTGAGCTTTGTAAATTTAATAATTCTCTCTCTCTCTCTCTCTCTCTCTCTCTCTCTCTCTCTCGACTTGCACTGAAAATCAAGCCGTCGTACCCGCGTTTGCGTTCAGCCACGTCGTCGAACCTTCCGCGATCCCGGCCGGCTGCAACCGTCGGCGTCTCTATAGGCAATGGTATCGATCCTTAAAGGGGACAAGCCGTATCGCGTTCGGCCAGCTGCGAACCGTTTCCCGTCTCGCCGCGTCCTCCGTGCCACGCTGTTAATTAATCCCTAATTAATCCGCAGCCGGTCCACGAGCGAAATTCCGCACGCGAGCGCGGCGCACGAAGAATTCGTCCAGGTGAAATTGAGTTATAAATATGCAAATCTCTCTCCCACTCTCTCTCACGATTCGCTCTCAGAATCGAGCAGCGAGACCGCGTGGAGGTATCAGTTTCTAATTTAGACTAATAAATATGCAATCGCCTGGCCGGATGAATCGCGCGCGACTCCGAAATCCGGATTAAAGGGATCGCGCGACATCATCCCGACGAACATTTCTCGGCGAATCTCACGAGACTCGACGGTGACACGGCGGCGATGATGATGCGGGTCCTCCCTTCTATCCTCTCTCTTTCTCCTCTTTTTTCCAGCCGCCGACACCGGCTGACCTGTGAATAATTCGCCGGCGCTTTTTGCTGCGCAGGTTAATTCGCGCGTTACGCATGGATCACCGTTCTCGCGCGTCTATGCATGCGTCATCGCACGACGACGACGACGACGATGCACACGGCGGTATATCCACGAGGAGAGGAAGAAGAAGGACGGGGGGCAAGGCGGCGACATCATCCACGGGCACGAACGCATCCACGGGGAAAACCGTCGTCGGGGTTGGCCTCCTTCAAAGAAAATGTCACGTGCGCGCGCGGCGTAATAAAGTGAATTAACGTCGCATGCCGTGGAGAGGCGACGACGCTAATTTAGCGATAAAAGGCCGATCGATGTCGGATGACGTCAACGATCCTCCGCTAACCGGCCAAGGAGCTCGCCGCTTTAACGCGCGCGCTCCCTCGTCCGCTCTAAGCGTGATCAATAACGGTACGTCAAAGGTACGTAATGCGACGTTGTCCTTTAAAGACGATGGACCGTTCAGCCGAGGGTCGCCGTGATAACGCGACTCGGCCGTCGACACAACCTGCTGCGGCCATCCGCGGTTCTTTGCTCGTCCTTTCCTCGCACATAAATGTCCAAAATACACCTTGAAATCGCCTCAAAGACATATGAACCAAGGAGAGTATCTTTCAAACTACTCCAGGATGTCTTTTGGACACGTACTGTATGGGTAAGATGTTAGTATCAGTGCTGTCAGTATCCAAGTATACTTACAAAGTGGTACTTTTTATCTTACGATAGTTGCAAAGCAACTTTCTCTGCTAAGTGCAGCCAATTGACGAATCACGATTGCGAAGTGACCGCTTTAAGCCCGTGTCACACTAAGGATTGGAGATAGAGGATTGCGGAATGAAGATTGGAACTTGACCAATTGGAAACCAAGCAAGCCAAGACCAAAGTGCATTGATTCGTCGAAATCTAATCTTCAACCCGCAATCCTCAATTTCCAATCCATAGTGTGACACGGGCTTTAGTCATCTTCCCGTCATCTTCGCGTCGTCTCGACGTCACGATCGCGACTTTTGATTCTGCCATTTCGTTGTCGCCGTCGTAGTTAGTCACCGCGGCTATAATTTACGCGGCTTTCGTCAGCCTGTTACGGTGACTCGCCGAGCTATCACATAATAACGGTCTTTATGCAGCAACGGTCGGGAATGTTGACCCTTAAAGGCGAAAGATAGTTCCGCGGGAAGAACACGCGCGCGGGTGGCCAAAACCGATTCGTCACGTGGTGAATAGATCTGAGAGTCCGGCGCGGGGAAAAAGCATCGTTGCAAATTCATTCGATGTTCGCGATGTTCGGACAAAAGACAGGTAATCGGCGGTGTGTGTTATCGGGTATCTCGTTATCGCGGAATGACCGCGGTGTATTAGTTATTAGTTACGATACCGTAATGCGATGCATGACACAATAGCATTCCACGTTGCGGGACGTCGCGAGACGCACGGTGGGAATTCAGCTCTCGTGCTGAATCGAGATCAAAATTGCACAGCCCGCGACATTGCAGTCGCGAGGACGATTAATGAAAGCTGACATGAGCGATCTTCGCGGCGATATTCGTCAGGAAAAACGCGGGTGACTGACGGAGCCGGTTATTAACGAAAAGTATTCGCGAATCCTCTTTGCCAATGACGCTCGTTGAATCAAAATAAAATCGCTCTTTCGCTTCGATATTTTCGTTTCATTGGATAATCACGAGTGTGAAGCGAAATGATGCAATTACCGCGTTCACTACCGTGCTGATTGCACAAAGGCTAATTGATAATTGAACTAAACAAAAATACGACAAATTTAGGTAAAAGTCCCAATTCCCGGATACGTATTTAATCCTCGACATTCTTATTGTTTTGGCCTTTAAATGCAAATACTCAAACTTTCAACAGATATGGATATATAGAACATAATGGATATATAAAATATAATAGAACATATATACGTATGTTCAATATATATATTTTATGTCGAAAGCTTAGATATTCGTACTTAAGGGCCAAAACAATAAAAATGTCCAGGAACATGTTAGGTAACATATTTTATACAAACATACTATACATGTAACTTAAAAAGACACGGCTGCTCATAATGAGTCAACGCGACATTCGACGTGTTGATTTACAGTCACGAGTGGGAGATAATGATATAAATCGTTCTCACACGTGCAAGATAAATATAAGAGATAAATATCTCGAGAAAGAGAGCGAGAGGAAGAGGACGGAAAACTGAGGATGGGTCTGACGGTTCCTCTTTTTTCCAGCAAACTCGGTTTCACGGAGACGACTCGGGCGAGACGTGCACCTAATTATGTGTCATCCGGCGTCGTAGGATCGATTTTATTTCGCCGTGGTCCCGCTCGACGCCGGTGTAACATGTATCGAGAGCGCTGAATAATTGATCCGCTTCATCCGCTTTAAGCGCACGAAGTCATCGCGCATACAGCGTTATACAGCGCGGATGGTGCGGTTCGTCTGGAACGTGCAGATCAATATTCCGCCACGTTGCGTTCCTCATCCGCCTCTCTCTCGTTCTCCCTCCTCTACCACCGCCACCGCCACCAACACCAACACCACTACCACTACCACCATGTCCTCCTCTCCTCCTCTTCGCCCCCTCCTGCACCTCCTCTGTGGCCCAACTATCCCAGCTGAATATTGGCATTGATTTTCACGGTTCGGGAAGGCTCGTGACCGCCCCCCGACTGCGGAGGTCCCGGACGAAACAGTCGAGTCTAAGGTCGCTGTATTATATATATATATAATACAATTATATATATATATATATATATATATATATATATATATACATATATATACATATATGTATACATATATATACATATGTATATATATATATATATATACATATATATATATATATATATATATATATATATATATATATATTCCATATATACTTTCCAAGGTATGTACGCGGTGCACAGACAGGAGGAGGAGATGGAAGAGGAAGAGATGGAAGAGGAAGAGATGGAGAGGGTCAATTTTCGCGATAGAGTGTCTCAGGCACGGTAAACGTTTAAGTCACGTGTAGTACACGGAGCAACCGAGAGCGCGCTCTTGTCATTCCGTCTCGCTCTCACACACGGGATTTATTATTCTGGCGCCACTTTCTATTATTCGCGCGGACTCCGCTCCGGATATCGGCTATCGAATTACTGATTATTATAAATAATACAAGACACGTAGGCGCGTTGTCATCCTGTCGCAATGCTCAGTCTCTAAAGTTAAGATCCCGTGAGAGAGTCGAGTGACACATGTTAGACACACTTTTACGTTCACCGTATCCGAATGGAATGTTATAGTATCGATCTCGCTTGAATAAAAAAAACATATTGTGCTTTATCGCAAACATACAGCGCCGAATCAAGGTTCTCAAACAGAACCAACAGAGCGCAGTTCGCGCAAAGCGCGAACGCCATTCGTGCACAAGATCGTGCACAAGAAAACATAAATTCAAAAAACGTGCAGGATTGTGTCGCGGGACGAAGGAAAAGTCGCAATTCTGTCACATCAACACATATATTTTGTTTTTGCTTGTATGCATACATACGATAAACAGTACAATGTTACGCGTTCCTCGAGGTATGGTATACTAGAAAAATTTCATTATCCACTACTACAATTGCTATGCGTCGTATTGTTTCATATCTTCGTCGATTTCGTGTATCTCTCTGCGTAGTTCTATAAGGGAATCGTTAAAAAAAAAAAAAAAAAAGAAAGAAAAGAAAAACGAGAAAACGAACGATCAAACGGAGAAAAGAAAAAGCAAAGAGAAGAGAAAAGAAAGTAATATAAAGAAAAAAAAAGAGAAAAAAGGAAATAAAAGACAAACGAGAAACGGAAAATTATAATACATATTGTGAGAAAATACCTCGTGTTTCCTCGTTCTTTTCGTCCCGATCGGAGAAAACTATCGCGCGTTACCTCGTGCGGCGCGCCACATTGAAAATGAAAGCCCGGGAAGCGCCCACCGGCTTGGTCGTCGACAACGAAATTGAATAAATGCGAGAGCGACGTGAGCGAGAGCTGGAGTATCGCTCACTTATTACGCGCATCACGGTAATAAAGTATATTCTGTGATCCCACATGTTGTCGCGCGACGATATTCGACACATCTCTCGTTCGTGGTGCACACACACACCGATTCCG